TTATTGCAGATTAATTTTCATATAAAGATAGATTAAGGTTGAAATTATAGATCTAATATAGACGAGCGTGCTATAAATGTGGCACTACAGTTACTATAGACAAACATTTATATATAGACATGAAACATGATATTGCCATGATCTACTGCACTGGGATATTATATTTCATGTTATTTATAAAACAACGTGTCTGCCTATACTGGCTACAGTCATATATAAAAAAATAAAATATAGCTGTATAACTAAATTTCGTGACATAAATTGAGTTACGTCTACGAGTTTACTCTATGTATCTCTCGCTTGAATTTCGCCACTCATCACAATAGTGCAACGTTTCCATGGAAACATTGCACTAAAAACAACTAAAATAATTATACCATCACATACTTAGTCTTACAGAAAGCCTAGTTTCCATTTGGTCGTTAGTTGTCGCTGGCACGACAAGCGGTAGATGTAAAATAGTCTAACATAATAATAGTCGTTTTGTGGGTTATATGCAAATCAGTCTTAATGATTGCAAAGTTTTGTAAAGTTTTGTTGACACTCTATTACATCAACCACTTGTCATGACAACTATAACGACCAAATGGAAACTAGGCTTAACACAAACAAAGCTCTTTTATGAAGCCACTTGTTACGGAATGATCGCTGACCAAATTTGTTTAAAAATGCGAATTGAGCATTTTAAAACATTCTTGTCTGCTCTGCACCTCTTAATCGTTAATTAGAATTCTTCTTTGTTTTAAAACTTCTGTTTAGACTTTAAGCTGGAGAAGGGCTTCAAAAAATATATCCTTCCCATAATGTACCTCAAATTAAGTCTGCTCGCAGTCGGGCTGGAAACACACTTCTTCCACTACTTATTATTTAATTGGGCGCTCCAGTGAACTGGACACAGCGAATCGTTAAACGAACTACAGCAATCACATGCACAGTATCCTTGAACGTAAAAATAGTATAGGACCACAATAACCTTGATCAAATGTGCATTAAAGTTCTAGCAGTTTCCCGGTCTGCTGGGCTCATATGAGCAGGCTCTTAAATTTAAAATGCTTACCCTGCATAGCTGTATAATTCTTGAAAATAAATTTCGGTCAAGGTTATTGGTCAAGGTCAAACCACTTGAATTCCTTGATTTCGAATCTGCGACATTAATTATCAAACGGATCGAATAATAAATTTCATACTCATTGGGTGCAAAATAAAACTGAAAGACCATTCCCTTTCACCAAAACCTTATCCGTAAACCTTACTTACCACGCAGTGGTGTAATCAGTATCTGGCTCAGGCAAATAAATAATAATGATTTATCTTAATAGATTCCAATTGAAAAGAAAGATATGGTTTTAATCCAAATATCTTATTTATACGTTCGGTGATCAAAGAATGGGAAATGCACCAAAGAAACATCAGCTAGGTGAATACCTCGATGTGGGACGCTTTTATACAAAAAGCCATCAGTTTCAGCTATGGGAAACAAACGCGTACCTTAGGTTAGGAGATGCTAATAGATTGAACAATGATGTTCAAAAGGCAATGGAGTACTATGAAAAAGCCTTGAAAATTGCAAAAAAACGAGGATATAAAGTAGAGGAAACGCTCGCGTGCCTTGAGTTAGGACATGCTTATAGATTGAAGAATCAGATTCAAAAGGCAATAGAATGCTATGAAAAAACATTGGAAATTGCCAATGAACGAGGATATAAACCAGAGGAAACACGCGCTTACTTTGCGTTAGGAGATGCTTATAGATCGAAGAATCATGTTCAAAAGGCGATGGAATACTATGAAAAAGCCTTGGAAATTGCAAAAGAACGAGAATATAAACATGAGGAAACATGCACATACCTGGGGTTAGGGCGTGCTTATAGATTGAACAATCAGATTCAAAAGGCAATGAAATACTACGAAAAAGCCTTGGAAATTGCAAGAGAACGGGGGTATAAACAAGAGGAAACATGCGCGTACCTTGGGTTAGGAAACGCTTATAGATTGAACAATCAGGTTCAAAAGGCGATGGAATGCTATGAAAAAGCCTTGGAAATTGCAAAACAACAAGGATATAAACTAGAAGAAACACGGGCGTACCTTGGGTTAGGAGAAGCTTATAGATTGAACAATCAGATTCAAAAGGCAACGGAATGCTATGAAAGGGCCTTGGAAATTGCAAAAGAACGAGGATATAAACGAGAGGAAACACACGCGTACCTTGAGTTAGGACATGCTTATAGATTGAAGAATCAGACTCAAAAGGCAATGGAATACTATGAAAAAGCCTTGGAAATTGCAAAAGAACGAGAATATAAACATGAGGAAACATGCGCATACCTTGGGCTAGGAGATGCTAATAGATTGAAGAATCATGTTCAAAAGGCAATGGAGTACTATGAAAAAGCCTTGGAAATTGCAAAAGAACAAGGGTATAAACAAGAGGAAACAAAGACATACATTGGCTTAGGGCGTGCTTATAGATTGAACAATCAGATTCAAAAGGCAATGAAATACTACAAAAAAG